GATTAAAACAAGTAGCTCTGAACATTTAGAAATAGCTTTGATTGCAGGTGTCTCGATTTTTAGGGTTCTTTTCAGGCGTATGGGATTGGTTGGTACAGATAAAGATATGCCCCAGTCTGATGACGACTAATATCAGACTCGGGCATATGTATACCGGAGCAGTGCAGTGAGTGACTGTTCCATTTTTGAGTTTTTTGAGGTTTAGTGTTTACTATAAGGATGAAGGATTTGAGATTGTTTGTATCAAGTCAAATAATTGTAAATGATTATTGTAAGAGAGACAGGGAGAGTTTATCCAGGAAATTTTATGTGTTGCTATTTGGTTCATACATAGAAAACTCACTTTTTCCTTTTTGAAAATATATAAATGTATGTTGCAAAGAGAAATTAAATTGTTTTCTTTTATTATGGCTACAAATATTCTTACTAATTAAAATTATGTTAAAGTGTTATCATTTTATCATTTTTTGTAAAATTATCTCATTAACTACATATTAGGGATATCAAATTAAATTGAATTGAATGGTGGAATGATAACATTTGTCATAATTTTAATGTATAAAGATATTTGTAGACATAAAATGTAGGAGCAATTTAATTTCTAAGGTTACAAATGTGTTTTGTATGTTATCCATTTTGTGATTTATCACAAATTTTTTGTGTTTGTTTTGGAACTAAATATATATTTTCATTTATTTGTTTATTAGTGTGTCATAATTTTTTTTCTTAAAAATTGTACTTATAGTTTAGAATATTGTACTACAAAAATCTGTTTTTATTGACAGTAAATATTGTTTTATATTTGAGCAAATTGTTGTGGTTGAATATAACAATAAATTTCGTGGCTTGATTATGTCGCTTTTTGTTTGTGTAAGCTTACCCAGAACTTTCTCTTAAAAAAACTATATAAGGGTATTTCTCAATTCTCATCCTCCTTATCTGGTTAAGGGCACACATACTGACATACACAATCAAATCCATATATTGCTTTAAAAAAATCGAGAAAAACAACACACCACATTGGTTTTTGTAAATTTTTAATGTCGCATCAACAAGAATAGTACATACTCATAAAAAAGGCCAAGGTAAAACTTGATTAGTACCAACCAATACCACCAAAACAAAAGGCCAACTATATTCAGGTCCAAGTGTTGCAACATCTCTCATAAAAAAAACACAACACTTGACTTTGACAACATACAAAATCCAACAAAAAAAAAAACCAGATACACTATAGTTGGAAACAAAAGAAAAGAAAATCAGATTTTGTCAGTTGCTTTATAAAAAAGCATTTTCTGAACATAAAACATCATATACCCTTGAACACCCCTGACAATACTCTCATTAACCCTAGTCACCCAACAATCATCACACTTATACCACTCATTACTCAACCTCAAATAAGTCACATAATGTCCCGCATCAAGTTTCCCCGTATGTGTCACAACCGCAAACAACTCAAACTCAGAACTGAAATCCTGTTCCTCATTCTCATTCCCATCAAACGCAAATATCCGATTTCCAAATCTACCCCTCAAAATAGACGAAGACAAATACGGAGACATGTCTAAGGAAAACGGGAACTGCATATACCTGTCGACTTTTCGCGACAGTTTTTTAACGGGGGAGTGTTCGAATCTTTTTATGTGGAAACACGAGACTAATGGGAGTTTTCTTATGGACATTTGTTTTAAAGATTCTTGTCGGATTTTACATCGTTGGCAGAAGAATTTCTGGTCTGTATCCGATCCTAACCGTTCTGGTCGCGTGAACCGGTCTAGACAACCGATTAGTGTCGGTGTTAGTTGGGATTCTGTTTCTGTTTTTGTTTTTGTTCCGGAAGGTTCCGGATTGATTGGTGGGATGAGATCCAGTGAGATGTCTATGCATGGGTCGTATGTTGTGGATGTGAACCCACATGCCATGCACATGACATCCGATCGTAGAATTCCCGAGAATACACGATGCGCGATACAGCACTCTCCACTCCCTACAAAAAAAAAAAAAAAAAAAAAAAAAAAAAAAAAAAAAGTTAAAAGCAAGAAATAACATCCTACTTTCATTTCTTTATATTATACTTAAAATCTACACATTTAACCCTGAAAAGTTGATTACCAATGTAGGAAGTTGCTGGTTAAGTTAGCTTTCACATCCACTAATCCTGAAAAGTGAAAACTAGGATTTTTGTGCCACATCTCTATGTAGGGATTTTTTTTTTTTTTTTTTTTTTAGAAAAGGAGTTGTCATCTAGTGGAAACCTTGAAGTTGAACTCCCTCCAGGCTCCAGCTAATCTGTATCAAAAGATAAAAAGATCCTATCAATGGCCAGCTGGGATTAAAAAAAAAAAAAAAACTAAGAGATGTGACACAAGAAAACCCTAAGTGTTCCTATTGGTTCTAAGTAATAAGTGTTTCTTTCGGTATGTGTTTCTACTGTAAACACCTAATAAGTGATATGACCCACATAAATAGAGTTGCAAATTCAACGGAAGAAGGAGAATTGACTTCACCTTGACTATGAGGCTTCTTCTCATCTTTCTCCACCTTTTCATGGATCCCATCAAGCATGGAAATGAAGAACTCATGAGCATCTTGCATTTCATAATTTGCCAGGTTTCCTGCGTGCTGCCACCAACTGGTGGAAAAAATAAATTAAAATTTGAAAGTAATCAGATGATGAAGATTGAATAGGGTATTTATTCTTTTAAATTCTTAAATATTGCCCAACAGGAATCAGCAACTTATTTTTTTTTTAAAAGATGGATTATGACAGCTACAATATTTGGTACAAAGACATTAGATATGACCCACATCAAGATAGACTAACCATTTTTATATTGTAACAACCTCCTGTTAGATTTCTTTTATCTTCCTTTTTTGATTTTGAAGCACTTATACAATCAAGAAGAATAAGAGAAAAACAAATTCTAATCCTGACCTGTATAAGAACTTTGCAGGGCTATAGGGTTTCCGATCACCGGAAAACACAGCAGAAAATAAAGCATCTGTATCGCAGGCCAAACACAGCCTCAGTGGATTTTTATTCTTTCGTTCATGAGCTCCATTCTTCTGCTGACAAACGAACCGGTTGTGTCGATCGCTCAGGAAATAATTCCGTAGTGGAGGTGTGTGCAACAACGCCTGCAATACAGAGTTCATGAAACAAGTGTTTCCAAGATTGTTTAGCCCTTTTAATCCCACAGGAAAGATCGAATTCGAAGATGTATCTTCGTCGTTTCCCAGCAACAAGGTTGAATTGCTCCCTAACAATGCGCGTTCTTTTGAATCAGGGGTCCAAGGACGATAATCCACGCGCCGCCGCTTCCTTAGATTCTCCGGTGGCGGTGCGCAAAGTGAGTTACATCCGCCTAGTGTCGCTGCCGCCGTCTGCGACAGGACGATGGCTGAATCGAAATCGCGATCGTATACCTGGTCCCCGCACGAACCACAGAACAGCTCCGCTCGATCAACGTCGATGACGATCTCGTGCTCGTGATCCGGCGCGTGTATGTCACAAACAACAGCAGGACACGACACGCATGCGTAGAGCCGCAGTGACAATTGTCCACACGCGCCGCACTGGAAGACCTCATTAGCTTGTCTCCTCACAGAGGCGCGTCCTAGCGGCCTCACTTGAATGCATTCCAGTAACTTACCAAACGCCGCCGCCCCTCGACCAGCCTTGAACTCCGCCAAATGAGAGCACGGCGGTGGAACAATCACAGCTGTAGATTGATGTTGCTGATTAGAAACAAATGAACGGTCATGATGGGTCTGGTGGTCCGAATTCGACGACATTGTTGTTTTTAATGTGAAATTGTGAAGTTTCGCCGATCTGATGATAAAGATCACTAATCAATCAACACAAATCGACATTTGAATAGATCGATTGAATGCGAATGCGAGCGTTAGGGCTTTGAAGTTCAGAAATTTCATATCGTTGAGTTCGGATTTTCAGATCTATGGTTGTCAATTTCGAAACTTTGCAATGAAATTGAGAAAAAGATGGACGACTCTTCACGTATTTTCCCCCAAAACGTTCTAAAATTAGGTTATCATATGATCCATTTTTCTTGATCCAGAAGAGAGCGGAGAGAGATTGGAATCTTGGATGATGAGATACACTACTCCCACTCGCTCAGGAGTCAGGAGTCCAGACAACTCACTGGTCACCCACGACCCAACTCGGTCTATTTTATATTTGTATTTTAATTCTAATAAAATTTCTAAAATCTATTAGTTCTACTTTTATAATAATTTTTTGGGCAAATAACATAAAAACTCTTATTTTTTTTATATTTTTCGGGAATGTTTAGGTCATAGGGTGTCGTACCATACCATATTATTACACTGTCACGTCATTATCATATTTTTCCTCTCACCTTACATAATCGATGAGTGACAACACTTTATCACACACAACACACACATACATACAAACACTCAAACGGTCAAAAAGAAAGTAAAATGGTGCGGTATCACTCGCGGTAAGGTTTTAGGCTGCAGTAAGAAGGGTCGGTGTTGCGTGCATCGCACACTGCGACGCCAAATCAGTCATCACAGTTTGCGGTAGAGAGAATACCGAGTGACCTTAGGATTGTTTTTCAAAACAACTAATTTTTTAACTTTTTAAAAAAATCAATAACGGGGTGTTTGAGATTGCTTTTTAAAACAACTTATTTTTATTTGAAAAATGTCTATTAGTTTTTTCAGTGTCAAAATAAAGTTTTAAAATATATTTGGATCAGTTTATCTGATATCAAAACATAATAACCTGACAAATTATTTTTTTTAGTGATCGGTAAATTCTACTTATAGGTGTAAGATAACCAATAAGGGCCATATATATATATATATATATATATATATATATATATATATATATATATATATATATATATATATATATATAGAGAGAGAGAGAGAGAGAGAGATATTTATAATAAGGTTAATAGTAAATTTGTTTAAATAAGTCATAAGTTGTTGTCAGGATTTTATTTTAAACCTTAAATTGATTTTTAGAAAAAAATGACTTTTTGATTTATGGTCGTGAAAAAATGAGTTTTTTAAAAAGGGCTTAAATTAGTTTTTTTAGTGAGAGAGTCAATAAGTTAAAAAAAATGTTTGTCTTATTTAATACATGTTTTATGAATAATTTAACTTTTACAATTCAAAAGGTTACAAGGAGTTTTGAAAATTAGAAATCTCAACTTATTATAATCTTCTTTTTGAAAGGCTTATGAGAAGTTATTTTAAAAGTCATTATTACATTGTCAAACTTTTTTTTTTTAATTTGATTTTTCAAAAAACCAATAAACCAATAAATTGTTTTTAAATAAAATTTCAATCACTCCCTAACTTATCAAAAACTCTTTATTTGAGTAAACATGCACTTTTAATTTTAGTCTATCCAAACACTAAAAACTACTTATTGGCGATATCTAACTGTAATAAGTAGATAAACACTTTAAATAAGCACTCACAAACACCCCCTAAATAAAGAAAAAAATGTTTGACAATTTTAAAAATATTTTTCAAAATAGATTTTCAATACACTTCAGAAATTAGAATTCTAAAAACATCTCCAACTCGATTTTTTTTTAAAAATGGTTTTTTAACTACAATAGCTTCAAAAAAAGAGATTTTAAAAAGATTTTTTTAGCTAAACACCTTAAATAAGCAATCACAAACACACCCTAAATAAAGAAAAAATGTTTGACTATTTTAAAAATATTTTTCAAAATAGATTTTCAATACACGAATTCTAAAAACATCTCCAACTCAACTTTTAAAAAAAATGACTTTCTAACTACAATAGCTTCAAAAAAGTGATTTTAAAAAGATTTTTAGCCAAACACTTTTAAAATCGTTAACATACTGATTTTTGTCACCATAAAAACTAAGCCAAATACTTTTTTAAAAACTCATTTTGCCACCACTATAAATAAATAAACATTTTTGTTTAAACACATTAGAGTTCAAAAACAATCCCCAACACCCCCCTCAATCTCTTATTTTGGAACATTCTTTATGTTAAAATTATTTAAATTAAGTATCGCTTTTTTATATATATTGAGTTATTATTATTATTATTTTTACATTATTTATCATTAAACTTATTTGAATTGTTCAAAATATAATATCTTAATTATGGTAAATATTTGTTATATACGATCCATTAAACTTTTTTATACTCAATTCATCATTAAACTTTGTCATGATAAGTTTCACTAGCTAACACAATCCACTCACACCACCACCTGACCTCCCACCATCTACTTCCAACAACAAGCACCACCTTCTATTGTCACCACAACCACCCATCCCCACCATTCACCATTGTTACACCCCCAGCCGACGGCGGAAACGTCAGACGGTGAGACGACATCATGGATCACAATATTAAGCATACATTGAACAATACAATAATACGATATTAAATAGATACCTTTATTCATTGAAAATAATATATTACAATATCCCCTAATCCAGGGTATAAAAAATTGGAAAGTACATAATAAGCCCTAACAGTAGGCAACTTAAAAGTACTGAAATACAAAAAAGATAAATTGTAATCCCATGATTATTCTTAGAATATGTCTTCTAGCTGCTTAGTTTCATGAGAATATATGCATTTTGAAAGAGTGTTAACTTTATTGTTGGTTAGTTTACAGGTTTGTAAAGTCTGAATAAAATGTACTTTTTATATCAAAAGTATGTTTGTTATGTATATAGGTAGTTTCCTAGCCTGTATATAATTGTATTTATCATATACTGTGAGTTCTTATAACCAAGCTTCTTGAAATATGATATACCCCTTCTGACGCTTCATCTGACATCGTAAAAGTGTACCCAATTATCATCATGCTTGACTTGTCTGTCAAGGTTGTAACTAACAATCATAGATCTATATATAATTCATTCACTCTCTGATGATTAACGGTTATAAGACAGAAGTCTTACTAAGTATTTAGGTATTTAGTTGATGAATGTGTCTCACATAAATGTTGTATCAACTTGAAAAGTCCTAACATTAAATGTCGAATTTTACAGGTAGAGTTTCTACAGTATACCATTATTGTTTTTGTTCTATAATTAATAGCTCTACAATATAACTCTACTATATTAGTGTAGAGTTTCTATAATATAATCATACTATATTTATTTGATAAATAGAGGTTCGACGGTATAACATTGCTATAATTGTTTATAAATAGAGGTTTAATAGTGTTTTAATATTGATTTGTGCGAAATATGATTAATTAACAATATAATAAAATTTTATGCATGTATTCCCCCCCCCCCCCCCTCCTCTCCCACCCCCACCCCCTAAAAAAACAGTAAAATAGTTGAAAAGTGGGGATGCAAACTCATTTTGTATGAAGCTTAAGGTTAAACCGAAGAATTTAAGAAAAGCTGGAAAATATTAGTTTCAACGCTTCGCCTACTCGATGAATAGTAACTTGGTCGGATAAATAGTGCCTCTCCGGAGTTTGGCTAGAAAAAGTTGTTGGTGACGGCGGTCGGTGGCGGCATACGACGACGATTGGTGGTCGGTGACGGTGATCAATAGTTGTTGGGTAATTGGAAGTTGCTAGACAACAATGGAGGGCTAGTTGGAGGTTTGCCAATGCTTGTTCAGATCAAAGGGAGCGCGGTAGCCAGCGGTTCCGGTGGTTCTTGGTTTTCCAGCGCGGTAAAGATAGGCAAGACGGTGGTTTCGGACGACGGTCTTTGGCGGTGATATATATATATATATATATATATATATATATATATATATATATATATATAAAGAGAGAGAGAGAGAGAGAGAGAGAGGTGAGAGAGATGTGAGGGTGAGGGTGAGGGTTCTATTTATAGAAGGGTAAAATCCGATCCAACGACCCATATCGATTCCAATCCGATAGTCGTATTAATTGAAGAGATTTGATTCTATTTGGCATAGGTGATAGCAAGGTTGTAAAAAATCGTTCGACGGTCAACTGGTGTTAAGGGATTAATTGGTCTTTGTGGAGATTAATCGGAAACCATAGATTATTAATAAAATATTAAAATTAATCAAATATAAATATATTTAAAAAAAAACTAGTACTTCAAAATTAGAAAATAAGAAAATTTGTAATTTCAAATTTTGAAAATACGAAAATACGAACAGTTTGAAATAATATTTGAAATTTTGAAATTTTTGGAGAAAAAAAAAAGAGTTCATTTTTTTGAATTTTTTTAAAAATTTTAAAATTTTTTTGGACCTTTTTTGACTTTTTTTATTTTTTTGTTTATTTTCTGACTTTTGTTGATCGATTAATTCCGGCAAGACCGATTAATCCCATCAAATCCGATTAATCATAAATTTCCAATTAATACTCTAATCATCGACAGTTGTAGAACGCCAAACGATTAATCAAGTATTAATGATCAATTAATCCCGATTTCTGCAACCATGGGTGATAGGTATTTCGTGAAAATACACTTGCATCTATTTCGCCATTAAAATCAAATACCAGATGATTTCCTGACTAGGGAATGTAAAATCTAGTTCCTGACGAATAGCGTAGCTAACCTAACAAATCGTTTGAAATTTCATTTTCCTTATAAACTTTGTTTACAGTTACGCTTTTTCACTTCGCAAAAGAGTCAATATGTTGTGAAACGGAAAAGTCAGGATCACAACTAAATTATACATTAAAACTTGGTTTGTAATATATAACTATTTTTTCGTAACCAATCTCAAAACTAACATAATGAATCATCCAAAGGTCTTTTAGCGGAAATGATCCATCTTTTGTTGTTTGATTTTATCCACCACGGTATGGGATTTTTTTGGACAAGAAAAGTTAGGAACGTGATAAATTCCTAAATTGAATAAGATTTATGGGAAAATTTTCGGGAATTGAAAATTCATCTCTTTAGATGTAGTACTGCTCGTTTGAAGTTCATGTTTTGATACCTAACAGGTAGTAAGTTGTCACCTAGTTGTTCGTTTTCTTAGAAATATTGTATTTTTTGCATACAAACTTCGTTTTCGACGTTGTTTATGTCCACGATTTCTTAATTACATGTACTATTTGTTGAGTGTATTGCTTGTGCATAAAAATGTTTAATACATATATCTCTTTCAATCATATGTACTAACTCATTACTTATGGATATTGAAATGGTTTTTTTGTCGATGATTCATAATTTCATATCAATCAAAGAATTAACTGGTATTATGGATGTATTTCAAAGTATAAAAATTTATAATCATCAAAATGATTTGATTATAACTCGTTAGATCTATTACAATAGTGATCTAGTGATATTATTTGACTAAAGTTGGCCTAATTTTTGCAATTGTCACAACCACCATCACCACCAAGTAACTAAATCTAAAATATACTTCAACATGCAACAAAATCGACTCAAACTCACACTCAAACCTAAAAAAGTCGATTCAAATCTACAATTAATTCGAAATCACACTTCAGTAATGAAATTGCATCGCCAAACGAATGTGGTTACTAGTGGCACACAATTCAAAAAGAAAGGGACGAGAGAGGGAAGTGGGGTTAAGGTGGTTTTCACAAAGCAGGGGAGGAAGAGAGGAGCGGGGAAGCGGACGACAACATGAGGGATGTCAGCATTAGTTGTAGATAACATCATTGAAAATTTAGTAGTAGTTTAATATATTTGCCGTTTCAAAAAAAAAAATCAATAAACAAAATATATACCATCGAATAAGCACAAATGTAAAATTACCAATCTTGAACTCATTACTCAAACTTTTTATAGGTCATTATTGAGAATATGCTACAAAATAACTTTAATCCTTGATTTGTGTACATGATAAGATTCAATATAAAAATTTTCCCATATTAAAATATAACATACACTTTGGATCCAACATAATTTAGAACCAATCCACACAAATTTCATCCAGATTTTATAGGGCGATGGTGTTGATAAACTTTCGTTTAGCAAAAGCTAACCACCATTTGTTTGGAGTTCCATTTGGTCTGTATGCAACACTTAACAATCTTCCACTTGTTTCTTCCCTTATTTGCTTTAAATAATTTCGCAACAACTCTGCAATTCAAACATTTTTAAAGATATCAAGATTTATGAATAAGTGTCCAATTGTGAGCTATTTTCCAACTTCATAAGACTTGCAGACATATTAGTTTCTATAATTTGCAAATAAGTAATTGGAAGGTTAGCAAAAAAGAAATGTTGGAATTTTCATGGTAGGGATAAATGCAAGAAATATCAATGGAGTTCCATTTATTTGTTTATTATAGCATCTTACTTTCATTTATTTTTTATAATACGTTGTGTTTGGTGTGGATTCCGGACATAATTGGAATTCGAGATTCCATTCCATGGTGTGTTTCCAAATGGAAAGAATTCAATTCCGTCAGATTCCTTCAAATTCCATTCGTGATGAATTTTTATTTCACCATTCATATGGATTGACGGAAGGAATTCAAATCCATTCTTCGTTTTTTTTTTTTTTTTTTTTTTATTGAACTACAAAAATACCCTCATTATGTATACTGAAACTAATAAAAATTTTAAAATTATAAGTGAAAATCGAAAAGTCACCCAATTATAGCAGTGAAATTTGCTTTTTATTTAGATGAAATTCCTATAATTGGGTAGTAGGAATGTAATACAACACAAGTACATTAACATTCCTATCTTTTGCATTTTCCTATCAAACTCAAATGACCAAAATACCCTTGGGCAATTTCTTCAAGTAAGAAAATTTTACCCGCTTCATCTTGAGAGGGAGGGAGTGGAAAGAGACCAGGAAAAGGGAAACCGGGTTCACCAGGAACAGGAACATCTTCCAAACCAAGGTTAATTACCGCTTTTGTCCCTTCAGCTAATGTTCGACACCCTTCAAGCCTCTTCAATGCCACATTTATATAAAATGTTAAATACACAAGAAGTTTATCAGCTGGGCTTTGAATGTCAAAGTTCTTGAAAAACACATTCGCCCTAAAGAATGTAATTGCTTCATCAATTATATCAGTTGTAGCTGCAAAAACAACATAAGAACAAGATTTTAAAACATATATATATATATATATATATATATATATATATATATATATATATAATCTTTCTTTTATTAGTATTATTTTACTATTTACTATTAGAAGATACAAAAAGTTTTGACCTTGATCTGAAACTGGAGCAGGTCCTCTTATGTGACTTTTTAAAGGAAGTAAAGGGCACCCACAGGCTTTCACAATTCCTTCCTCATCGATAAATGTAGAGTGATACACCTGAGAAACAAACATATATTCACTTTCTATGATCAAGAACACGAGGGGTAAAATCGTCTTTTTACCATGTTTTCAATTGAAGGGGGGATTGCTTGTCACCACAGGAAGGAATAATTCCGATTTGATTTTGCGTCGACTTCCTGCGAATCAATTATCCGTAAGCCCAAATTAATCGAATACAAATCCCATTTCTAATAGCTTAATGATACCAATCCGATACCAGTGTTACAGTTTAATTTATGGTTTTCCTCTTTGAAACAAGTTAAAATCGATGGGATATGGGATCGTAAATGGGAAGAAGATGAAGTCAAGTGGTGTTAGTTTTGAACCAAATTCCAATGAAATTGTTTAACCCAGAGAGAGGTAAACAGAAGTACCTGTGGGATGTGGGCTGTCGCTGGGGTAAGATTTATGATCAGATCGGAGATGGGTTTTGTTGTTGATGATGGAAAGCTACGTTTGTTCTGTCTGAAACCGGGTGCTAAGTGCTAAGTGAAGCGATGATTTGGGTTATATGCAAAGTCAAAAGCAAAATCACTAGGCTTGGAACTGTTGGCTTTTCGTAGAAGACTATGAAAATGGCACCATACGGTTCTTCAAGACTTCGGTTTTCTGCTAGTTGCAACTCAAATGCATTTCATTTTTGACTTTTGAGCTTGTTTTACTGCGTCGAGGGAAAAAAAAGGTTAATTATGTAAAACTCGGAATATTTTCTATATATATATATATATATATATATATATATATATATATATATATATATATTATATATATATATATATATATATATATATATATATTTACTATCTTATAAAACAAATCCCACTATTTCTAAAAATAGATTAAATAAAATAATAATATTTTTTTAAAACGTCCAAATCATTAAGCTAATTGTACAACTAATCACTAATAAAATAATATTAAAATTTAAACAAACTCCTATAAATCTTCTCTTCCAAGGTTTTGACCAGATCTTTTTTCATCTAAATAAATACTCAACACCTTATAATTTGATCATTTCATTAATTTTCTTTATTTTTAATATGACATGTTTCCTAAAATAAACTAATGATTGAATTGAAAATAAATTAATTATCGAAACAAACTATTTATCGTCCGCCGCTTTGCGCGGGTAAACGACTAGTATATATATATATATATATATATATATATATATATATATATATATATATATATATATATATATTGTAAACGGTAAAATAATATTAAATGGATATTTCCAGAAAAATCCCGATATTTTAAGCAAATTTTTAAGAAATTCATAAATTTTATTTTTTGAATAAACAAGTCCTGACGTTTTCACATTTTGAATAGAAAAACCCAAGAAACCGACTAATTTATTCACTTTAGTTCTTTTTGACCTGTTCAGCAGGTCATGGGACCAAATTGTTATTTTTTCGAAAATAAAGAAACTTTTTTGCAAATTTCATCAAAATTTTTATATAACGTATAAATATATTTTTTACATATCTATATCTATTTTACTTATTTTTGTATTTTTTTTATATTTTTATAAGTATATATATTTATGTATTTTTATGTATTTTAAATGTATAAACATATTTTTTTTACTTACTTATATGTATTTTTAACCATTTTACATATTTTTTATGTATTTTTATGTGTTATTTTTTATATATTATGTATTTATATGTATTTTTAAATATTTTTACTTATTTATGTATTTTTTTAAAGCTTTTTATATAGATGTTTATGTATTTTAAGTGTATATTTTCTGGATATATATATATATATATATATATATATATATATATATATATATATATAAACGGTAAAATAATATTAAATGGATATTTCTAGAAAAATCCCGATATTTTGAGCAAATTTTTAAGAAATTCATAAATTTTATTTTTTGAATAAATAAGTCCTGACTTTTTCACATTTTGAATAGAAAAACCCAAGAAACCGACTAATTTATTCACTTTAGTTCTTTTTGACCTGTTCAGCAGGTCATGGGATCAAATTGTTATTTTTTTGAAAATAAAGAAACTTTTTTGCAAATTTCATCAAAATTTTTATATAACGTATAAATATATTTTTTACATATCTATATCTATTTTACTTATTTTTGTATTTTTTTTTATATTTTTATAAGTATATATATTTATGTATTTTTATGTATTTTAAATGTATAAACATATTTTTTTTTACTTACTTATATGTATTTTTAACCATTTTACATATTTTTTATGTATTTTTATGTGTTATTTTTTATATATTATGTATTTATATGTATTTTTAAATATTTTTACTTATTTATGTATTTTTTAAAGCTTTTTATATATATGTTTATGTATTTTAAGTGTATATTTTCTGGATATATATATATATATATATATATATATATATATATATATATATATATATATATATATATTTTGTAAACGGTAAAATAATATTAAATGGATATTTCCAGAAAAATCCCGATATTTTGAGCAAATTTTTAAGAAATTCATAAATTTTATTTTTTGAATAAACAAGTCCTGACTTTTTCACATTTTGAATAGAAAAACCCAAGAAACCGACTAATTTATTCACTTTAGTTCTTTTTGACCTGTTCAGCAGGTCATGGGACCAAATTGTTATTTTTTCGAAAATAAAGAAACTTTTTTGCAAATTTCATCAAAATTTTTATATAACGTATAAATATATTTTTTACATATCTATATCTATTTTACTTATTTTTGTATTTTTTATATTTTTATAAGTATATATATTTATGTATTTTTATGTATTTTAAATGTATAAACATATTTTTTTTACTTACTTATATGTATTTTTAACCATTTTACATATTTTTTATGTATTTTTATGTGTTATTTTTTATATATTATGTATTTATATGTATTTTTAAATATTTTTACTTATTTATGTATTTTTTTAAAGCTTTTTATATAGATGTTTATGTATTTTAAGTGTATATTTTCTGCATATATATATATATATATATATATATATATATATATATATATATATATATATATATATATATATATATATATATATATATATATATATATTTTGTAAACGGTAAAATAATATTAAATGGATATTTCCAGAAAAATCCCGATATTTTAAGCAAATTTTTAAGAAATTCATAAATTTTATTTTTTGAATAAACAAGTCCTGACGTTTTCACATTTTGAATAGAAAAACCCAAGAAACCGACTAATTTATTCACTTTAGTTCTTTTTGACCTGTTCAGCAGGTCATGGGACAAAATTGTTATTTTTTCGAAAATAAAGAAACTTTTTTTGCAAATTTCATCAAAAAATTTATATAACGTATAAATATATTTTTTACATATCTATATCTATTTTACTTATTTTTGTATTTTTTATATTTTTATAAGTATATATATTTATGTATTTTAATGTATTTTAAATGTATAAACATATTTTTTTTACTTACTTATATGTATTTTTAACCATTTTACATATTTTTTATGTATTTTTATGTGTTATTTTTTATATATTATGTATTTATATGTATTTTTAAATATTTTTACTTATTTATGTATTTTTTAAAGCTTTTTATATAGATGTTTATGTATTGTAAGTGTATAAACATATTTTTTACGTATTTATATCTATTTTTAAGTATTTTACATATCTTTTATGTATTATGTATTTATATATTTTTTTTAAAAGTTTTTTATATAGATGTTTTTGTATACTTATATATTTTAAATGTATAAACGTATTGTTTTACGTATTTATATGTATTTTTTAAGTACTTTACATATATTTTTTTTGTGTTTTTTTATGTATTATGTATTTATATATATTTTTGCGTATTTATGTATTCTTTTAGTTTTCTTATATGAATGTTTATGTATTTTTATGTACATTAAATGTTAAAGTGTATTATTTTTACATAAAAAATATATAAACACGTAAAAATAACACAATTAAACATTTAATATACATAAAAATCTATATAAGAAAACTAAAAGAATACATAAATACGCAAAAATACATATAAATACATAATACATAAAAAAACACAAAAAATATGTAAAATAGTTTTAAAAAAATACATATAAATACGTAAAACGATACGTCTATACATTGAAAATACATAAATATACAAAAACATCTATATAAAACACTTAAAAGAATACATAAATACGTAATACATAAAAAAATTATAAAATACTAAAAAGTAGATGTAAATACGTCAAAAATACGTTTATACATTTAAAATACATAAACATCTATATAAAAAGCTTTAAAAAATACATAAATACGTAAAAATACATAATACATATAAATACATAATACATAAAAATTACACATAAAAATAAATTAAAAAATATGTAAAATGGTTAAAAATACATATAAATAAGTAAAAAAAATACGTTTATACATTTAAAATACATAAAAATACGTAAATATATATACTTATAAAAATATAAAAAATACAAAAATACGTAAAAATAGATATAGATATGTAAAAAATATGTTTATACATTATATAAAAATTTTGACAAAATCTGCAAAAAAAGTCCCTTTATTTTCAAAAAATTAACAATTTGGTCACATGACATGCTGAACAGGTCAAAAGGGGCTAAAGTGAATAAATTAGCCGGTTTCTTAGGCTTTTCTATTCAAAAGGTGAAAAAGTCAGGACTTTTTTATTCAAAAAATAAACTTTAGGACTTTAGTAAAAATTTACCCAAAATATCGAAACTTTTCTGGAGATATCCCTAATATTAAATAAGAAACCGAACTTAAACTAAAACAAGTTGCTATGAGTTGGATGGTACGAGGGAAAAAAAAACAAAAACATGACTACAAGGAAGACAAAACAATTAGATTAATAGAGTGTTTGAGATTACTTTTAATGTTATTTTTTGGATTTTGGTTTTTTGATATTTGACAATTCTATAAAAGTCATATTGATTTTTTGGCAAGAAGAAAAATGAGTTGTTTTAAAAATAAAGAATTTATGACTTTTGATTTTTTGGCTTTTACTCTCTTAAAAGTTAATCCAAACACATTTTAAAACATATACGTCAAAAAATCATTTTGTTAAAAAGAACTTTTTTAGCTAAAAGACAATCCCAAATACCCCTAAAGTGGAGACCAACTCCGCCCAACTCGTCGAATTGTTGCCCTTATATTTATTTCATTGGAATGTTTGAAATATGATTGAGTCAACGGTTCTAGCTTGGCAGACAACAAAGTTCTTGAAAATCTTATTATTTTTTGTTATCCAAATGTTCCATAAGGCAACGTAATCAATGAAATCAAGTCCCCCATGAAAATCTTCTTATTTTTTTTCCAGTCCAAGTCCCCCATGTTAGAGCGTAATCAATGAAATCTCTCACCTTTTTGATCTTGCAAGTTTTTTTATGTCACACCACCTCAGAAGCAGTACCAAACATCTTTGGAATAGGCACATTCTATCGGTAGATGGTTTGTAGTCTCAATGCAAGTCCCACATAATTGACAATTTCGATTTTGGACATTTATACCCTTATATATTAGTGCATCAACTATTGTTATTCGATCCAACGCAATTCTCCAAATGAAGCATTTTACATTTAGAGGGATGAATTTTGACCAACAAATCTTGGATCCAATGTATTGATTGAGTTTAGCATCCAACATTCGC